TATGAAATGATCCAAAAATTAAATTTGATTTTTGAAATCAAACAGATTTGTTTTATTTTTCAAAGACAAATTGAACTCAATCCAATTTCAAATAAAATTCAAATTATTGATTATTTTCAAATCAATGAAGCTTTTCTTGTGATGAGATATTCGTTTTTCCATTGAAATTTGATGAAATAAAAATAATTTGAGGATGTGAGTATTGGTTTTATTACTCTTTGATCTATATTGACATTTCAACAGCAGCATTTCTTAAGAAAAACGTCTCATTAGAATAATTAAAGAAATGGTCGAATAAATGATTAAAAATGACGAAGTTAATTCCAAAATCTACTTTTTTAAATTAGTTCTGTCAAGAATACATTCAGCTATTGGAAAATGTCTCTTATTTTAAAACACTAAAATATATTGTTTAGATAAATTTTATATGAATTTATCCAATTATTGTTAAATTCAGCTATTTGTATGAAGACAATAAAATAATATTATTTTCAATGATTATTTATTCAAATCAATTTATATGAAAATAATTTATTTTCTATTTTTATTAAAAATCATATATTGATAGGTAAATGTTATTTATTGATTTCGAGGAATGTAAAGACTCAAAATAATTGAATATTATTGTTTAAAAATAGAAGATTATTAAATTGATTAATTAGAGAATTTTTATATTATAACAAAAATAATTTGTATAATATTAAAGAGAAAAAAATCTAAATAAAGTTTTATGAATATTATTGTAACATGATTTCATTGTTTATTGATTTGTTAATCATAATTTCATTCTAAAATGATTAACTATTGATACAGAAACTATTAATATTCTAATAAAAATCATTTAACATCTAACCAGATGTATTGGATATTAGTGAATTATTTCAAATTTTAGTGAATGAAAATAATTTTATATAAATTATTGAATTATTATATTTATTTTTATGAAAATTTAAGAAAGAATATTCAATTATATGTTTATATAGGATAAAAACTGAGACATAAACTAATTATAATTTTAATATTTATATTCCTATCTGATAAATTTATAATTAATAAATTTATCAAGAAAAAGAGTATTGATTTTATTTGAAAGAGTATAATGAAGAATGAATTTACTTATTATTATTCTTAAATTATATTGAGAGAAAAACTCATTAACTAATTATAGAATTTCTATTTGATTAAACAAAGGTTTTATCAAAAATAATTTCAATTTAAAAAGTATTCATTCGATATTGTACAATATGAATAATATTTCCATCTATAACACATTAATTAAACAATTTTTGGTATTTTTTTTTTAATAAATGTGAATTAAAAAATAATTTTAATTAAGTTTTAACAAAATTCAAAATATAAAAGATGAATCTAATACAATAAAATCTTTCTAGGATGAACACCAACGGGACTTTCTAAAAAGTGTTCATCTTATAGAGGTTTCACATTGAATGAAGTTTTAAATGTATATAGTATAAGATTAGTATAGACAAATGATAGCTATGCACCTTTTATATTAAAATTTATTACAAATTATTCCAAATAACAAGATATCTTTCTCAATTATGACGCATATTTATTCAATTATCATGTAACAAAAGAGAAAGAGTATTTTTTTATCTTTAAATTATTAAATATCTATTTTATTTTAAACAAAAAATAGTCAAAAAAAAGTATTTTTATCTATTTATTTTATATGAAGAAAGTTGTTAATCGAAACGCTGCCGATCGAAATTTTGTATTTCTCAGCAAGTGTGCAATATGAAGTGTTATCTTCATTTTTACGAATTAATTACACTTTTTGAGATAAAGTTAACGTGTTTTTTTGTCATTGTATTTCAATATAGATATATGATAGTGGTTGAAATTTATTTTAAAAATATGTCACATCAATAGCTTTACACAATGTCTATAAAAAAAAATTATTTTAAATTATAAATCATTTTTTCAAGCATGTTTTATTATGTTAAATATGATGAGAAATAGTTTGGGTAGAAGCGAGAGTGTGGCTATAGATAGAAAACACCCACATCCTCAAGGTATCTCTTAGATTTTATCTGGTATGATTTATATGATAAATAATAAATGTTAATTTATATAGAAACTGGAGTGATCAGTATAATGTGAGCATAATAATAAAATGATCATGTGTTGTTCTTTTCAAGCCTAATTTTTTTTTGAATGTTGACTAATAAATTTGGAAATCAGTAGTTCAGAATATTTTGAATACTAATGGTATGATGTTAGTGTCTGTGTGCATCACTCGACGCTACTCTAGAGATTAAGTTGGTCCTTCTAGTCTAACTGGCTTAGGATAACTGCTCGGATAGCAGAAGGTGTGGGTTCGAGTCCCACGAAGGTCATCTTTTTCTTCATTTTTCTCTTTCTTTATTTTCTCTTTCTTTCGCTGGTGTCCATCTCATGGCTCTAATATGATCCTAATATAGAAAATTATTAAAGTATAATTATCTAAGTGATATAAATAAGAAAAAGATAAGTGAATAAAAAAATAATTTTTTAAAGTAAATAATAACATAATTTATTAGTTTAATTGAATTAAATATACAGACAAAAGAACACGAGAAGATAAAATACATTTTTAACGAAAAAAAAAAAAGAAAATAAATAGAAGAAAAAGTATTTGAAAAAAAAAATTAATTATTATTTATATTACATTTGTGACAATTGAATTATATAGTTTTTACTAATATTGTTTACCATTGTTGGTGTCAATCGATGGTAACCTCTCAAATGTGCTTTTAAATTTTTTGCTTCCATTTGTTTTCTCGAACACGGGATATTTTGAGATTGTGTGGGGCAGCAGTGAATCAAATGGAGCATGGCGTTGGTAAAGGGACATAAAACAAACTTGTTTTTCTTAAGTATTGGACTAAAATAAAAACAAAAAAAAGATTAGTTATATTTTTATTAACTAAAAAAACATACGCAATTTGTGGAACAATATCTCCTGGTGGTGGTAAAACATCTTCTGGTGTTTGATCAATATCGGATGATGATGATGGTGATTCAACTTCCATAATTAATTCATCTAAATAAATATTAAATAATAAGACTCTATTTTAAAAATTTTTTTAAATAATTTACCCTCTCTATTTGATGAAATTGTTTGATCAACTAATTGTTGTTCATGTTGACCTTGTTGATTTTTTCTAACAATTTCAGGTATACATTCATTTGAGACTGAAACAAAATCATGTACCATTTTGTCTGCTTTTTTGATCATATCAGCCATGAAATGCACCGATCGATGTTGTGAACAAACAAATTGACTACAACATTGGCATTCATATAATCTTGTTAATCCTTCGAGGCATGTTGACTCATTACAATAACCTGTTGAAGACATATCTGAAAAAA